CAAGAGGAGGACAAGGCCCAGCCACAGAGCCCAGCCACAGAGTTCAGGGGCGCGGCCAGTGAGTGTGGCCAGCTCTTTTCTTTCTAAGATAGAACCCCAACAGTAAACTGTTTGGGGAAAAACAAGTCTTATATACTCTTATCACTACTCTTATCCTTTGTGCCTCTGTGGTCCAACGATGACATTTGATACGACAATAACTAGGTCTAGGTCTCTGCATCGATCACCTGCCCAGTCAGTCATGCTTGAGCTCAATGTGTGAATACACACAATATATCGCAATAATTTGTAGAATAACATGCAAATGCATTTTGAAGGTTGGAGATTAGATATGCATTCAAATAACTCGAAAACAGTTTGCCCTCAGGATGAAGTCATGGAGCTAAATGCCAATTGAACTGGTCACTGCTTGGTCACTCAACTGCCAACGCTATCATTTGCTACCTGATGCTACTTCTGATGCTATCCATCCCCTCAGAAATCCTTCCTCAAGCCTTGCACCCGTCAGTCAACGTCGCCCCCCGCAGACATTCGCACGTCCCAAGGCGCCAGGAGTAGCGCACATCGGCAGCTAGGTTGGACTCCTCAGTGCCGGTGAACGAGGCCAGCCACCGGTGGTGGAAGAAAACCACGTCAAACATGGTGAGGATTTGGACTTGAAGTTCTTGTGCTTCTTGCTTTCTGTCATGACATGATGTGACACAGGAGTTGCAGAATCAGAATCTGAGCACAACTTTAGATACACATGATATCGACATGATATGACATGATGAATGTGTTTGAGTTGCACTTCAGGAACCTGTGGAAGATGGACAAAGAAATCCGGGCTTCTTATGTTCTTCAGTCTGCCAATATAGTGAGCACAAGGAAATGACATGAATTTCAGAATCAAACAACACAAAAAAAATAACAATACAAAGCATCTGGTGATTGAAGCTTGCATCGCTGCCTCCTCACCATTCACCCTACTATGAGCTCATATGTTTTATTTAAGCTTAGTAATTCTGCCAGGCCCCCGACCAGGTCATTCTCCACACGGAAGCCAAGGTCACAATGCAAAGGACCATGCACGCGCAGCCAACTGGCAGAAAGGAGCACTGCGGCGCACACGACGATGTCGCACGACCGGGTGAAGTGCTGGCCAGCAGCACAGGCTGAAAGAACCGCTCCGGTGCGTGGCATTGCCACCTCGGGGCGGATGGGAGAGCGAGGGGAGATAGCTGGGGTCAGCTGACCCAGGCAGCTGACCCAGCGCAAGAAAGAGGCTTTCTATCAGGTCTATCAGACTTCCTCAAGGCCCCGTAATTAGAGTGAATCGGTCAATTAAAGGCCAAGCATTAGAATCCCTCACCCCTCATGTCCGGTCCGTCATCCCAGTTAGCTACCTTCGTTGCCCCTCAAGACATGAGAAAACACAGTGACTATCATTGAATTATTGAGATTTGAACAGCAACACTTTGCGATCCACATGCCTTATTGCGCTGAGCGCATCTCATGTCAGGTTGGGCCTCCCTGCTCCAAGACCATTGGGCGCCATGGGCGGTGACCAGTTTGGCCTCAGCGTGAGGCCAAGGGAAGAAGACCTGCTCACCACACATATGCCACCGTTGGAGGAGGAAAGCTGATGAAATGGGTGAAGGACACACACACGTACCCCAAACGGCCCCAAGGATTCATCCCAGATGGATTGCAGGAAGGGGCCGGAAGACCAAGGAGGTTCGTAGGATTCATGTGCTTTTCATCTCAAATATCATCTACCAGAATTGGTGCACCTGGAAGGGTAGGGTCGGTCTTGTCAAAAAATCCAACCGATGTTCTGGAGAGGCCAAGCCTGCTGATGAAATAGCATGCAGCCCGCCATATTAAACAAATACATGAAACATGAGAAGGTGTCACATCAAATGATGTCATTCCTTCTTGCTTTCTTTCTCTCAAACCTCTCCCGCTCAGTGTCACAAGGAGTGGCCACAGCGACAAGTCCGCCACATTGAGTCATTGCAAGCAAGATCAACGAACGAACACTCCCCAGCCCCGACTGACTGCGAGTGCCCGACTGACTCGTTCAACAAGCTCTGAGTTTCACCTCGCAGTGACCGAGCTAAGGTGGGGGGGTCCGCAGCACTGAGGATCTCAACACTGAGGATCTCATGGGTCGCATCACCCATGGGAGATCCTCCAATGTAACCGTTACGCGACTCTGGGGGTGTGATAACAATGCCTATCCACCAGCAAGTGCACTCTGAATGTTCTCCGTGGGTCGATGTGTGACAGGTCAGGTGAATACTTTGAAACTATATATCTACATGATTTGGGTCTATCCCATTACCAGGCCCCAGTGGATGATGATGGTTACTAAAGGCCTTGTTCAAAAATAGTGATAGTGATAGTTGTTTGCTGAGTGTTGCAGGTAATAGGACAAACCTAATACACGACGCATGATGATGCACATCATGGGGCAAAACACTGCGAGGACGCAAGAGCATTACCAACAACAAAGTTGAAAACAACTCTATAATTACACTACTGCAATTGCCAATTTGCATAATCTAGCAACCCCCCAAAGAAGATAATCTACTCACACACCAGCTGGTTGAAATGTGTTGGGGTATGTTGAGGTTTGAGCAGCATTGAGGCACGCCCAGGAAATCGTCATTCCCCCGTGTTCCACTTAAACTTTGCCGGAATGGAACCTGGCCCTAATGATACAGGGTTCCTCCTGAGGGAGTTCTAGGCCCTATTGTAATTCAATGAGACCCCAGCAGCATTTCCACACACAACCGGGCACTCTGAACACGCTGGAAGATTAACATGGAACCTGGCAACCACCAACCTGTAGACTATTAGACTGTAGAGGCAAGTAGTCTTCCAAAGGGCAATTTTTAGGTTCCATGTTAATCTTCATAGGGGATGACAGGCGTATGCATGGTCCATTTTGAGGTTCCACGTTAATCTTCCCGGGTGTATGCATTTCAGAAGTCTGACAGATATGATATGTTGTATCGGTTTCAACTTCTTCGAGGGAAATTCCAATTGTCCCTCACAACTAACTCTGGGAGCCAAGCCCAGGATCACTTCACCCGTGTCAGCGCACTTCGCCGACCTCTGAAGGACAGGTGAACATGGACGTCAAAACTGCACGTCATATATACATTAATTTGTACACATGTCATGATGTCATGCCTTTAAGGATGCATCATCAGTGTAGGTGTTGACCAGTGAACGTCCAAACAGTTTTAAAGGTTCCTTTTTCCTCTCAAATGGCTGCGATTGAAAGTCACTCGGCGCGAACGACACTCCGATTTTGGCCCTGGAGGCTACAAATGATGCAAAAAGAAGAAACATTGCAAAACAAACCTACTATACACCGAATTTGTATCAAGCCCAAGCAGCTTGAACAGCAAAACCCGATCAAACTATGCTTTTCTTACAGGCTGAAACTGTCGCGCAGTGACACTCATGCACTGGCGGTTTGTTTTCCCAAGATTCCAGGCAGAGCCGAGGCGCGCTGCCTGGGCCCAATGCCGGTGCTCCCGATGCGCTCGTTGACCTCTTCGCGCTCCGCGAACTCCGCTGCCGCGAAGGATGCCAGGCTCTGGCCGACGGGCGTCGGGTCGGCCGCGGTGCGGTGCGGCAAACGCGTCAAGGCCATGGTCACCACCGAGAAGAACATGAGCACTGCACCCATCATGGTCAAGGCTTTGGGCACCTGGTGGAAGAGGACAAAGTCCAAGAAATAGCCCGTGGTCATCTGGACCCCAGTGAGCACTGTAGAGGTTAAAGCGGCAGGGCATTTCTTGGAAGCAAGCATGCTGAGGCGATTTGCGGAGAGGAGAAGTAAGGTGAGGCCAACGAAAAACAACATACTTGTGGGAGGTGACATCGCCAAGCTTTGCAAGTGGCCGTCAGGCACAGCAGGCAAAGCCGCCAAAAGCCAAAAGACCACACAACGGTGGGCCATAGCAGAATTGCTTAACATCATTGAGGATGCACCGCCTGACTTGCGTGCGCAAATTAAAATACCACTCTGGGCAATCCCAGCAGAAAGCGCCAGCATATTTCCCAACAAGTTGGAACCCATGCCGGACATGACTTCCACAGGATCAGAGATCAGTACAGCACCCACCACGCTCAGGAGAACTGCCAAAAGGTGCACCTTACCCAAAGGCTCTTGTAGCACGAGCCTCCCTAGAAGTGCTGCTATCACGGTGTTCAAGCTTGCCAAGGCGCCGACGGTGCCCACATTTGCGCCGGCGAGCACGGCCAAAAAGTGCAGCGCGTTGGCGGAGCTGCTGAAAAGACCAACAAGAAGGACCCACTTCACTTCTCGCCGCTCCAAATGCCAGGATCCTTGCCACAACATGGTCATGGCCAAAGCAAAGGCAATGCAAAGAGCGGCCAGCCCGGCTAAGAAAAGGTAGGGGAAGTCCCACCCATTCATGAACTTACTGAGCACCAGGTTGATGTTGGTAAAAATGGCACACGCTGCAGCAGCGACCACTCCTTGAACTTCGCTGGGGACCTGCATGGCCACAAATCGTTAGACCTACTACCGGCTGGCTTATCTGGGGCCATTGCACTGCAGCCATTTGAAACTTTCACTCTCTCTTGACTCATGAGCCGTGTCCCCCAACCCCCTGGCAAGGGATAAGGTGGATTTTCTGTCTTTCAGATCCTTCTTCAAGCTCAGCCAGCGTCATGCTCGACCATGAAATCATCGGTTTGCATCCCCCAGCCGATCACATCTCTTTATATAAGGCTCTCGCAACTTGGCTGAGCCGTGCAGGGACTTCAAGGGCTCGAAAAGTACCTCACGCGCACATCGGCTGCAAATCTGACAGAAGAAACCCTGCACAACCTTACATCGCACGAGTTACACGGATTTTGGCATCATACCGGTGCAATGTTTGCTCCTTAAGAAGTGATATACCTTGCCAAATTGCAGCTCTGTTTCTCGCTTGACTTGGCTGCTGGATTTGTTGTGTCTCCAGAGCCAAAGACTTCATACGTCACACTTCCAACATACGTCACCAACATACCAACATCTCAAAAAGGCAAGACGCCCCAGAACTCTCGGGGAAAAACATGGGAAACCAAGGCCAACCAGTTTCTCTGCGCCAGAACCTTGCATTCCTTGGAGTGTTTAACATCTATGTTGAAGCCTTCATTCCTGGAGTCTAGGATTGACTATAGCACTGTAATATATATATATATATTATGTATGTGTACCCTATATATATACATAAATGAATTCCAACTGTATCATTAGGCCCTGTTTCAACCTCTTGGCCGCCCGCCTCGACCGAGAGGTCTGCCGTATCTTTGGGCACCTCCCAGGAGAACTGGCCCTGTGCCCTGGCGGCCAACTCTGACGGCGTGACGTTGACGAAAAACCTAGAGACCATGACCGACCATCTGCAGGGACAAGCTCGGATGTGTCCACCAACGGTGAAGCCGAAGCTGAAGAATGACTTCTTAGATTCTGACTGATTTCTTGCCATGTTTGCCCTTCATGATCGGTTCAATTGTGCTAGGACAAGCTCGCAATCCATCCGCAAAAACCCTTCGCAGAAAACATAAAAAGTCCATTGACATGGAGTTCCGCAATCCCTTCGTTGTCTCTTGGAGCTCCGCGCGCGGCTCGCGAGGTCAGAATCATGGACTGCCGTCCCTTGCCGCCCTGGCAGCCGAAAACGATAGGATCCTGGCGCTCTGTCAGCTCTAAGGGTCCAGGGGGCACTCACCAATGCGATTCGCAGGGTGGTGAGATCTGAAGACCATTGCAACTTCGAGACTTCTTGCGATTTTGGATGCTCCTTTTTGGGGAGGCCCACTTTGGGTCCGGAAAGGTGAGGCGCAAGGGGTTGTTCAACCTATCGGCTGGAGACATGGTACGTTGGGGCCCACACGTTGAAGGATGAGATAACATGTGAACGAGCTGCTCGTCATGCAAAATTTTAGGTGGTGCATCCTTTCGGGGATGCGCATTGATAACGTCTCATACTTGTCATTTGCTTCGGTGCCACATGGACAATTCGGCCGTGGGCCACTTCAGATTTGTCCATCACAGGCCGATAATCGCAGTCCTCTTGGTAAAAGCCTTTCTCGCAAACATTCTCGACATCTGTTCCACCTTGCAGCTTGAGAGCGCAGGTCAGCAACATTGATAGCCTCGACTCTGAAAACCCGCTTGTTCTCCATATCCTGACACCATTTTGATCTTTCAACAAGCGTTTGAAGCCCCGCCTGACAATGCCAGCAAAAGCCACAGGCCTCAAAGCGGACAAATTCAAAGCGGCCATCCTAAGGCTAAGTGAACCATATGCAACTCGAGTAGCTATTCGCCTCTGGCAAATACCTTCACTAGTTAAAACATTTATATAGGTCCTACGATCCTCAAGTTAGGTCTGTTTGGACTTCTGACTGGCACTTCTGTGCGATTCCTCTAGACTCTAGAAGGCTCACACACACCATGCAGGCTGCGTCGCTCCGGTGGCTGCATGGCATGTGGCACTTTGGCCAGCGCCGCTTAGGCGAATCGGCGTCGGACTCCGGAGTTCGGCACCGGAGCGACTCAACTTCTGTGTTACTGCTTGCACTGTCACGTCCTTTTGGCACTTAGGGACCCGAGTCAGAATTAGAATTGTGGGATGTTCCAGCACAGTCGAAACAAATACAAACTATCCTTGTTCTGCTGGATCTGCTGTCTGCTGCACTAACTAGTGAGTTTCTTTGCTTCCTGTAAAGTCCTGGTTGCAATCGGTTTTACTTAGTACATTCTCGCCATTTTTATAAAATACTCATAAAATAAGTATATTTGTCTGCAGTGATACTGTCTCTCTTGATACTAGTAATCAGTTGATCTGGGCTCGCTGCCACTTGGTCAAAAGCTTGAAGTGAGGAATCCAAAGCACTTGGCACGCACCAATAATGTGTGGCCCCGATTGCAGCTGCCACTTTCTCGCTGTGCCAAGGCTGGCCATGAAAGTGTTTGATGGATTTTGAGGGTGTTCTGTTGGCCGAACATGCTGAACGTCAGCCCTCGTCACATGTTGCACTACACGCTTCACCACCATATGATATGCGGCTTCAGTTCCACTCTGCAAGCCAATCCTTTTGCTTTGATAGACGCAGCAACGTTTGAAAAGTCCTAAGCCACCCAACACACCGAATGCAAATACCCTTTCTCCGGCCGCTTTCCAGCATGGATGTGCGAACCTTGTGAGACCTAAGTGGGCGGAGTTTGTTTCAATCCGTGGATGCCTCAGTGCCATGGTCAGTGCTGCCTTGCTGCATCAGTTGAGGGACAGGGTCGTAGAACTTCTTAGCTCGTCCAGGTGACTCTCCAAATCGACCACCGGTGTCTGGTCATCCAAAGCTCAGCGCCTCTGCTGGTGGCAAGGGTGCCAAAACCTTGGATTTGCGGATGAGGCACGTATATCAACAAAGTATTAACAAGTCACAACGCTCCATAGAATGCCCAAAGGATTTCCATCGATTTCACCACACGAACCGTGCGTATAGCCGTATAATCCCAAGAAGCCCGGTACACCTCCGCCGGATCTACTTCCGCCAGCGTTGCATTCTGCCACTTGGGGCTCTTGTCCTTCTCGATGAGCGCAGCCCGGACGCCCTCGCAGAAGTCGGGGCGTCCGAAGAGGCGGCTGAGACTGGCGAAGTCGTGGCTCAACGCCTCCATCCTCGGATCAATTCCGCGCACCAAACGCGCCAAACATGCGCGAAAAGCGGTGTGACCCGTAGTGGGAGGGTGGGTGGATGCATGGGGTAAAAAGGGAAAAGATTGTATGGCTCGGTCATTGATGTCTGCAAATACATGCCAAATTATGACAGTTTGACCATTTGGGGTGGTCTTGTGGTGCGCGGCGTCCATGTTGCCAGGCTATATAGGTAGAACAAGCTACTAGCGATGCACTTGTTTCTAATAGCTTTTTGTTATATACACCAAAACGACCTTCATCCTTCGTCCCTCTACCAACCTTGCCTCCTACGACCATCACTTCACTCTGACTCCTCAACCGAAAGCGTTCGTCCAGCGTCAAGCGCGCATGCCGCGTCTTGCCGGCTTTAGCGGAAAACTCCGCCATCTCCAGAAGCCTCATGATCACCTGGGGTGGATCAAGCGCGAAACGGTAACAAACATGGGCCCTTTTCAAGGGAAACATCGAGAGAACGAGAAAAAACGAACAACATCAACGAAACAGGTGCCCTCAAACGTCCTTGAACTCGAAGGTAGACCCAAATACCAATCAAAGCATCTTGAGCAAAAGGGCTGACGTGCTTTCTCTTTTGACACACTTTGACCCATGGCACCTCCTGGCACAAGCAGTTGCCCTCACCCATGCCTTCCTTGGTGCGAAGTATGCGACGTCACAATGAAGCAACACTTTTCAGGAAGAGCATGTACCAAGTTGGTCGCCGGTCACTATACACAAACTCAACCTCAAAAAATGGACGAGATATTCAAGCAGTATATAGTTGTCTATCAGCACCACACGCGTGCACCATCGAACTGGAGCTGGTCAACGCCAGTCAACAAACTCTTCAGTGTCGCTCATCTGACACCCTCAAATCCTCAAGTTTGTCTCCAGGACATGGATATTCCCGTTTCCAGGGCGTTTCCTCCTTTTTCCGGGTCTCTAAACGCTCCTGGACCCAACTCTGGGTCTCCTCCTCCTCCTCCTCGGCGTACAGCCGCGTCAGCCGCCGGAAGGCCTCGCGCGCCGTGGAAGAGGGCACGAAGACCTCCTCCAAGATGCGCCTGGGATGAGTGATCAGTGATGATGTGGAACCGACAAACAAATTGGAACACAATGTCCAACAAGACAAGATATACCGTTTTTAATAGTTATGCTGAAAATGCTTGAAAAAGACTCAGCTGGATTGTTGCAACTATTGTATCTTCTACCATCTATCTAATATATGTTCATTAATAATAAATATATAATAAGGGTATGTGTGTATGTGTTTTCATTGTGTGCCACTATATTTATATGACTAGGGGCACCCCAAGGAAACGAACAAGGATAACACCTACAGAAAACCTCTTGGCCTTTGTATTTATGCCGCGCTAACATGTGTGACACGTCGATTTCTCTCAGAGTGCTAAAAAGGGTCACCGGCTTTGGTGGTCCCTTGGGCCATCGGGTCCATTCTTCCGTCCTAGGGGTGGCACATTGCCCCACGGAAAGCAAGGGCAATGACCGTTTACGGCGTAGCATTGAATGCATCACAACATATCACAACGACGCTCCATCTGCCGGTTGGAGAGGAATATCAACCGTGAAGGGCGGCAAGCCATGACAAACACCAACGAAAGATGCTGAAACCAGCACAAAGAAGCTCAATATCAGGTCTTCCTGAACTTTCCACAGGTATTGCTTCTCGCTGAAGCAGCTCCAAGACGTCCTCTCGTACTTTGCGAGAGGTCCAATCAATACTCTCCAGGTGTTCAGTCACTGATGGCAACCTCTCCTCAATGGGGCGGATTTGTGCGACATAACTGTAACC